AAAAAAAAAAAAAAAGGTTAGGTTATACTATACCAAGACATTTTTAATACTTTTGACTGTTCAATCATACGGAAATTATGTTTCGAGATCAAGACTCACCCGAACTGTGAATATTCTGAATATGCGATCATTTGCGACAATTGATTTTATTCTGTATATTTTTTTTTTTTTTCGTTATACCAATGTCTGAAGAGGGCTCAAACCGGTAGCCGAAACTTGTAATCTTAATCATTTCTTAATTTATACTCCAATTTTTTGCGTTATGTAATAATTTTTTATCTCTGTTAATTTTAATGTAATATATATATTTTTGTGTTTTTGGAAGAAATGTGTTTGACTCTTACTTCGCCCGATACTTATTTTTGATTATTAAATCAATTTTATTGTGTTTACTAATATCAGAAGAAGATTTCTTCTTTTTCTCCCTCGGTAATGGCTCCCGCGTCAAATGTAGGAAATATTAAATATAATAATAAATTGTTAATATTTATCATAGAAAAATGATAGAATCACTTTTTTTTATTTATTTTTATCAAAATTCAAAGATTGTCGGTTATGATTAGTTTCCATAAAACTGAAAAATCACTCATTTTCACTATGCAAAAAAAATATCATTTTTAGAACAAATTGCAAAAACGCTTATAGTTTCTTAAAGTTCAACTCATTAACTGTTGATTTATCACTAATAAAATCTTTTTTCATTTATTTTTGACAAAAAAATGTTTTGACAAAAAAGGTTTTGAAAAAAATTCATTTTTTTACGTTTTTTTCCGATCCCTTTTTACTTATTACAAAATATCTTTTATGCTACGACATTTTAGACTTTCTAACTCAAAAATTTATTTTTTTCAATCTTCAAATGATAGATTAAAAAAAAATTAGTTAAAATTGATGCACCACAATTTGAGATACAAAAAAAAACGCTGGATTACAAATACCCAGATGTAGAAAGATAGGCACTGCTAGAGTTATGTGTACTTAGAGTTAATGTATATAATATACCTCTTAATGTAATTCCAAAGATGTAGATATACTAAAACTTCAGCCTACAGAAAATAGACCTTATAAAAAAATAAAAGTATAAAAACATTTTACCACTTTGTGCATTATTTTCACTTCTTGCAATCCTTTTTTTTAAGTCTGCAATGGTTGCTAAAGCCTCTTCCAATTTTTTCTGTAAATCTTCTCTCTTTGAACTCCCATTACAAATTTCAGTCTTTGATAAATTATTTTCTAATTTTCCATGTTCTTTTCTTATCTTTTTCTACCGAAAAATGAAGTACACAGCTGTACAACAGATTGTAAAATTTTAATAATGGAACTGTTATATACCTTCTGCTTTTGCGAGATAAGTTCATATTCATATTTATCAGAGGATGTATTTGAGAATAATTCATCTCCAGATATAGAGTCTTCATGTAATAGCTCACTCAGTTGAGTTTTTACATTAGAAGCTTTATCACATTTGGATAATTTTTTCTAGGTATAATTAAGAAGCTCCATGTAATATTTTTGAGTATATATCCTTAAATATACAGAATAGACCTGAACGTTCCACAACCAAACTGTGAAATTTTATAGGACATTTAATTCTGAATGAAGTTTCCTTTAAACATGTATTGAAAAATGCTTTTTTAAAAAATTAGTGCTTAACAACTTCTAAATCACGGTTATTTTATATTTCTACAAATATTAGGGAAAATATGCATTCTTTAACAAAAAAGTAATAAAAGTTGTAGAGAATTAAAAATTTTCTTTCAAATGAGATCAAAATGATTGTAGTACATTTCATAAGTTTTGAAATAACCAATTATAAATATACAAAGAAATTTTTTTTCTACTGTCAACAGTACAGTTTCTTCCAAATACTTATTTATGTATATAAATTTTTAAAAAGTTCTACTGTAAAAGAAATACCTTTTTATGCATTTAAAATAGGGATGTTCGTCGTTATTCGATATTATCGTTATTCGATAATATTTTTTGCTGCTCGATATAAAAATATCGAATAAAAAATTATAAATAAAATACTGACTAGATGTTTTTTTATTATTTATATTCACTCTCTATTTTTATGAATACTTTTAGGAGTTTTGGATGCATTCGATAGCCGGTACTATGCTAAGCCTTAGTGAGCGGTTAGTGAGCTCTTACATCTGTTTAGTTGGTCTGTACCTTTGGATCCAACGGAATGTACCAATTAAATACAAGAGCACTCAGTGAGCAGTGTCGAGATTTTTTTATTATAAATAAACGGAACCTTCCCTACATCAATGATCAAATATCATAAATCTTCGTTCGTAAGCTCTAAAAAAATTGAGAATTTTTCTTTTTTTTTTAAATCTATTCACTGTGCGATATATTGAATATAATGTCTATTCGTTCGAAATGAATAGTTTTAAAATCTGAATATCTATCTGAATATAGACATTCATAGTCAATATTTTTTTTCGATATTGATATGTTTAATTTGAAACTAGTTATCTTAAAACCTGAAGCGTATAATCATTATTTATAATTATGTTACGTCCAGCGGACTCGCACGACTCATTTATTTCGTAGAGATCTGGAATTCGTCGAAACACTAAAATTTTATCTTCTTTCCTTTTTTTTTCCTACACTAAAAACTAAAACAAGGAATCCGGTATCTCCTCGTGAACGTTGCTCCCAGATAAACTAAATCAATAATAAATACGTATGGAAAGCGTAAGACCGGCGCCAAGATTAACGGTCAAATCGCGGACGATTCTCGCGAATCCGTAATTACAAAATCTAAGAAACGGCGATGTTCAGGGGTAGATTCTAGGTGATCTTGTGGCGACGATGCATGTGCGCTTTCTTGACGCGCGTTTTGCCATAAATTTTAAAATCATAAAATTTTGGAGGACACTTTCCCATGCTACAGATTCCTGTCAACATCCTTTCCTCCCCAAAATCTTAACCAATCCAAGAGCAAAGGAAAATCCTACCAGCTAACGAAACCTATTCCACCAATCCGAATTTGAGTAATCTGGGGCGATTAGTATAAAAATCGCGGTTTCGCGGCCTTCGTCGCAGATTTTTCTCCAAGTTTTCTCAAGCTACACTTGTCGCGCAGATTTTTCTCCAAGCTTTCTCAAGCTACACTTGTCGTGAGTTTCTCAAGCTACACTTATCGCGCTATTTTCTTCTAAATTTCGAGAAGTCGTCGCGATATTTAAAAAGGCTTCAGCCGATTCTCGAAGCCCTTTTTCTCCAGTAGAGTCAGTGTTAAAGAAACATCAGCCTTGCACATCCTGGCCGAAGGACCTCTAACGATAAACATCTCAGTAGTAAGTCAGTATATCTCTATTCTCTGGCTCCCTCCTCGCTTTATCTTTCGGTAATTTATTTCAATATTTCATTTGATCTCTTTTATTATTCATTTGTTTTATTTTATTTTTATTCTTTTCTTTCTTTCTTTCTTTCTTCCTTTTTGACCTCCTATGTACAAGAAAATAAAAACATTGCAGTCCGTTCACGTTATAATTTCAATCTATCACCGTTGCCTCACGATAATTGTTCGCCCCCTGTCGACTGGTCGTTCATGTCCGCTAACACTATCATCCGAAGAAAATTAGACCGAATCTTCTAAAATCCACTCACCAAAACCTTACCTTTTTATCGTCTCGCTATTCTCTCCATAACTCCTCTCTTCTGCCACATACTTTACACACACACACACACACACACACACACACACACACACATCCATAAATGCGTACATATAACTCAGAATAGAGAACCAACAATTGTATTATTTTTTAATTTACTCGACAAAATTGTATTTATTTTTTATTCAAAAAATGTATCATTCAAGTTTGGTTTTTATTATTATATCATTATTAAATTAACTTCTCAGTAGTCTTTATTCAAATATAATCTCTCCTCGTATTCTTAAGTTCTCCTGCGATTGCACTTCGCCCTCTCCCCGGTCACTTGAATTAAGTTCTATGACCGAAAGTCAGGGCATACGGCCGTACTAGCGCAGCTGGCGTTAAAGTGCGCCCTCCCGGCATATTGACCCAGGGCCCTTTAACTTAAAAGTACTCGCCGACTCGTATGTCCGTTTAGCGGAGCACGAGCAGAGGTTTCCGTTTCCTCCTTCGATCCCCGGCTCGTTAGGAGCCTCAGGACGAAGCGAAGTGCCTGACGATTTGCGTCGGTCCTTCTCTACGGCTCCCTTGCGGTCCGGAACCTGGACACGACCAAATCGGTCTAACAATTCAGTTCCCTCCTACGTTCACCCCCTCAGCTCCGCATGCGCGCGGAGCTTGGATGTAACAATTATTTTTCAGCTTATTTGAAAAATAATTTAATTTTCAACAATTTTTATTACAAAAACTTTTGTTACTTTTTATTTTAAAAAACGTATACTTTCTCTGAATATTTATGTTGTTGGGCGTTAACTTATTATGGAAACATTTTTCGACACTGTTTGTAGAAAACTTTTAGTTCAAAATTTTTTCTATAAATTCTCAGTCTGGTTGGCATGTTCGAGTCCACCCTGCATATATTTGCAGCTACAAGATAAAGTATTAAATAAAAAAATTAATGAACTTACAATTTTTTTTTTCGCGTTCTCTTCATTATTTGTATTACGTTTGAATACAGATGGAACAGGGCAATCCTTGTATTTACGATTTTGTATATCACTTCTTTTACTATCAATCAGCTGCTGTGATGATGATGTGCCAACCTGTTGCTTTAATTTTTTCTTTTGTATGTACATTTTTTTACGAAGATCTTGTAATTCTTTTTCATTTTCTGAAATATTTCAAGGAAAAAATACATGTACGCAACATTAAGTGCATATACATATAATGACCGTTCCGATATACAATATCAGTATTGAAAATCTATAGTATATATTTGCAGTACTGATACACAATAAAAGCGTATATCAAAACACAACCAATGTAAGAAATGTAACCAAAATACAGGGTGGGCCATCTATTGGTACGTTTTTAAAAATGCGATCAAATGAGCATACATTGATATTTTTTATTAATTTTTTTTTTGTTGTGAAGCTAAAAGTATCCGCGTCAAGAATGAAAAACGATTTCGTTCATGTGGCTCCCTCTACTGGCCTTACAGTATGCCATTCGGTCACCCCAATTAATGACATTTTGTCAAAAACGTACCAATAGATGGCCCACCCTTTATATCACTTGCTAAGTGCATCAAAAAGTTACAAACTTTTTAGAACAAGAAGTTATTTTATCATTGGATATACAAATTTTTCTGTTACTAATACCAAAGAAAATATAATATGAGTTATAAATTTTTTTAATAAAAATTTTTTCAGAATTTTTAAGAATTTCTGTATAATTTCACAGTTTTTCAGAAACAATATTAAGAATCTATATTTTAGATCGCATATGTGAGAACACAATCAATATTAGAAATTAAATGCCTACAACGGTCAAAGTTGGATCTTTAATGCTTAAATAATTCAATTGAATTATATATATGTATACTATATATAATATATTATTACATATATACTATACATACACATATATCATATTCATAGTCATTCGAACTGCACGAACATTGCGAACCAACAATTTTTAATAATAATTTGATGCTCAGGCATTATATTAGAAAGATATTAATATACTGAAAAGTGCTTGATAATTTAATTTAATTCGTGATGTTATTATTACAGTAGTTTCATTGTATTTATAAGTTTGAAAACTAATTCAGCGCGCGTTTGAATGACTACAAATATGGTATATATATGTTGCAGCTTTTTGAGAAATTAGCCTTTTTACGAAAAGGTTAGCTTTATGCAAAATGGCGTCTTTTTGCGAAATCAACGATCGTTCCTTTAAACTGACGCACTTTAGCCTTTTCGCGAAATGTGTTCTTATAAACATGTGAATGCGTCAACAAAATGGATGTCCTGCTCATTCTGTACGGATTATTACTGAATTGCTAAACAGAAGATTTGGAGATCGTTGGATTGGTTGGTCAGAAAATAACAGATGGGCCGCACGTTCCTCAGATTTAATACCGATGGATTTTTATTTGTAGGAAAAGTAAAAATAACAAGTGTACAGTGAAATGCCGATAACAAGAGAAGACATGAAGAAGCGTATAAAAAGAGCTTACATTGCAATTGGTCCGAATGAAATTCGTCGTGCAATGTTATCTGTGTCGACACGTTTCAGAAAATGCGTCAATGTTCAGGATCATCATTTTTAACTTGTTGTAACGGTAAATACACAAATAAGTAAATTAGTGAAATATTCGAAAAATGTTTTTAAATAATTTATTTTCAATTATAGCTAATTTTATTATGTTTAAATAAACCTTCAATGTTTATTTACATACCGACATTTGAACGATTAGCGGTATACCAACAAGAAGAGAAGACACGAAATTATTCGAAGAGTATCTTGAAACAATTTATTTTCCATTACATTTAATTTCTATTATTGACTTTACATAATCTTAAATGATCTTCAATTATAGGTTATTGTACTCTTAAAATACTCTATCAGAATGTAAATAAAAAAACATATCATTCCATTAAAAAAAAAACAGATTTGATCTTTGCCTATTTCGCCTCCACCTATAAAACAATGATTGACATCACATTATGTGCCCCTCGAAACCAAGCAACTTTTGTTTGACATTTTTTCTTTTATGTTAAAAACAAGCGAGTTATTCAGATGACCTGTTTTAAATTCCCCTCCTTGTATATGTATATGTATATATAATA